CGGACACACAGAGCATACTGCTGCTCATTTCCTGACAAATTACTCTCCAGGAGAATAGAAATCATCCACGCTGAGCCTCAGCAGCCTGTTGGAGGAGCTGCCTCAATGCACACAGATGCAGAACAACACTGAGCAGCCCCCACATACACAGACCAGAGCTTCAGCCCCATTCACTGATGGCTGCATGGCACTCACCTTCATAGTGCTGCACCTGCACACAGCTCTCCCATCCATTGCCTTCTTCATGCGGGCATACTCTCTCTTTTATTAACAATTACTTAACTCTGTGCATACTCTTAAACAAGGCAGGTTACTCTCCCGGCTTTTGAAACAGGATGGGGCACAGCTAAAATTTTAATTAGCAAAACAAACAACAAAAAAAGATTCTATTGTGAGTTTCTGTTGGGGTGATTTGTAAAATAAATTGGCCTCACCTACCAAGCTGCCCTCACCACCCAAGTCTTCTCTTTCTCAAATGAGTATCACACATTAGTGATACAACTGCTACCACTAATGGTATACTGGTGCAATGTGAACCACACATCATTGCTGGAGATGGCTCTCACCAGCGCCACCATGTAAAGCTGTATGTTGTGCTCACTACAAGTACCCAAACAGAAGCACAGATCCCTACATATGTGCTTCCCAGGCACCTCACAACACAGAGGTCAGTGCCCACTGGAACAGTGCCCCAGGAACCACTGCCCCACACTGTGGTAACTCTGCTCCCACTGCACTACTGCTCTCTGATGACTGGTAACAGCAATCCAAAGACAATTTTGCACATCCCAGTGAAAATCCAGTGATTCTGACGCCGAGCAAAGACAAAAATCTCTATCTAGTGACCAAATACCACTGTCATGTCACACATGTATAAACATAAACTCCTACAAACCCTGCAATGGTGAGTTCTCTACCCAACCTCCTTTTCACACAACAGACAGAAAGCTAGGCTGCTTTTGCAGCATGCTAAAACGCCAACGTGAGTTGTCAGCCACTGTGGGAGATGGATCAAAACCTGCCTCAGCTCCACCCAACAACTGAGGAGATCGCTCAGGGCCATATTCCTTTCATAAGCCTGTGCCAGACCAGGAGGTACAAGTAGCCTTCTGTCCATTACCCAGAGCAAGGATGGGAACAGAAGGCTGCCACATTACTTCATTACTTCAGCCTGCCTCCAGCACTTCAAAAATACTCACTACCTCCTTCTCCACTGCTGTCCCAAACTGCCCAGCATGCAGACAGCCTAAGCAGCCACAGCACATCATGCATGCAACAAGTTGTGTGAGAAGAGAGAGAAGCAATGAAAAGCTTTCAAAACAATAAAAAAAAAAAGTAGTTTTGTTTCAATCTAAATAATAAAAGCTTAGCAAATAAAAATCATAAAAAGGAACTATAACTAAAAGCATTGCAAACAAAAGTGATGCAGCAAATCCTTAATACTCAAAAGTTTAAAACTAAGCACAGCAGAAATACAAAGGAATGTCTAAAGATGACTCAAGGAAAGGCACTCAAAAAGAACATTACCAGCACACGTACGGTAAGCAGCGCGCCCTGGGCTAGCAGAAGAAGCTTTTAGCATTTCATGTTCCAGCACAGGACAGCACACAGCAAGCCATCTGCTCAGAGCCAGGAGCTCAGCAGAACGCTGTCAGTGACACAGAGCCCAGACTTCTGCGGCTCACACAGAGCACAGCAACACTCAGAGCTCCTGGTTAACTCCTGGCACAACTTCCTGGGATTTCTCAGATTAACAGCACTTTATTTTATCTGAGGTGCTTTGTCTGTTTCTCCTACCCACTTTCCACCAGCCTAGGAGGAGGTCTGGACACAATGGGACACGGCCACCAGAGCCTTGGCAATCCCAACTCCTCCTCACAGCTGACCCTCCTGTGCTCTTGAGGCAAACAGCCACACAAGTAATGCCACTAACATCCTAAATGCCACCTCAGGGGTAAACTCAGGTGTGGAATTACCTGGGATGTGGCACTTAAATGACAGCACCGAGGTTTTTAGCCAGATTCTGTCATATTATGAGACCCAACTACTGCGAGGCAGGACAGCCCACCTGCGGCTGCTAAGCACCCAGAGCTGGCAGCAAACCACATCAGCACCCATTCCCAGTTGTTCCCAGCTGCACTGATAGCACAGGAGCCTGCAAGCCATGGCTAGAACAGAAATCTTCATCTCCTTCCTACTGCATTCACTAACAGCAATGCCACATTTAGGGAAAACCATGTTTTTGTCACCCACACTGACACAAGCCCAAGACTCAAGAAAGTTCCTAACAACTGACAGCCCAGCCACACACTTGTTGAACACAAGCTGGCAGGACATCGTCCATTAGCTACAGAGCACCTCAAGTTCTTTCTTCAGTCTTAAGGCTCAAGCAGTTTCCCCTCACCCTGCCCATCCACAGCACTGACCCCTGGTACAACACACACCGATAAAGCACAGAGTATACCTGCACCAGAGAGCTCAGCATGCTGAGCAACAGCCTGTAGGCATTCCCACCACCTTGTTAATCAGCAACAGCACCACTATTGCTCAGCTTTCATAATCCCTTCCAGCTGAGGTGGGTGGGTGCAAGGAGCACCGCAGGGCAGGAAGGCAGAACAGACACGCGTTTGTGTTACCACCGCAGCACTGCCAACTCTGGGTATTTATAATTTGTATTATTTACTTATCCCACTCTTTTCCAGCCTGCGCAGCCCAACAAGCTCAGTTGCCTTGGACACCTGGGTGGGAAAGTTCCCATCACAGCTCATCTTCCATCGTTCCCTTCCTACCAGCCGACAGCTGCTGGCAACCCAAAGCAGCCTTAGTGCGGCACCCAGGGCTCCCTCGTGCCTCCCTGCAGCCCGGCGCGGTACCTGCAGCTCGGGGCACGTTCCGCCCGCTCCAGCTCTGCCTCCTCGCAGGCTCTCCTGCTGCCAGCCGCGGTGACAGCTCGGTGCAAACACAAGGAGCGAGCTTTGGAAGCAGGCAGGAAAGCTGTGTCGCTCTGCTGGATGAAAACCGGTAAGGAAGAACGGAAAAAAGAAAAGAAAAAAAAGCGCGGATACCGAAGCACGAGGAGAGCTCCGGGACTCCTCCCAAAGCCACGCCGCTGCCAGCAAACCCCACAACTTGTGCGCTGCCAGCAGCGGGCACGAGCAGCACGAGTGCCTCCTAGCAGGGCAGCGCGTCGGCAGCCGAGCAGCAGCACCGCGATCTTTAGCGGAGAGCTTTCTAGTGAAGGGACGTCCCTAGAAAGCAGTCGCTACGCGTGCAGTCCTCCCGAATGTCATTACTGATCCAGAAGTAATGAAATAGCAAATAATACGGCCCCAGGGTACACATCAGCCGCCTCTCCTAATGCATACAGATGGAGCTCAACAGCTTTGCTGCTCTTCCATTATCGCAACGAAAGCGGATCTGTGAAACGCGATCGCGGTGAGGCGGCTTACTCACGAGCAGCGTTTATTTCCGATTCCTCAGAAAACGCTTCTAAACACGCTGCGATGGGGGAAAAAGTTTCCGGGTTCCAAAGCGGCGGCAGCTCCGTCCCTCACACCTGCCCACAGGTGCCCGCAGCGGGCTCGCTCCCTCACGCAACAGCTCGTTTGCTCCACAGCGAAGCGCAGGTCGCAGAGGTCAGCAGGCAGCGCGTGCCGCCCGGCTCGCTCCTGACCTTGGGTGCGCCGCGAGACGCCGGACGGACGGACAGGCACACAAACGTACATACACACGCGCGCGCGGCAAACTCGGAGTGCGCGCTCGCGGCGAAGCACGTTACCTGGCACACGGCACTACCCGGAATATCAGCGGGCGGACACAACCACCTCCGCGCCGGGGGCGGGCCATCCCGCGCCAAGGCAGCACGGCACCGTGGGCACCCGACGCCGCAGCCCGGCTACTTTTCACAGCCGGAGTTTGCTACTGCAGCAGCGGCCGCCGCCGCCGCCACCTTCCAGCGCCCGGCTGATCCCCGCCCCGCCCCGCGCACCAAGCGGCCGGCGCGGAGATGCTCGGCCGGCGCCGTCCCGCAGCCGCAGCAACTTCTGCCGCGCGCCGCTCCCACGGCCCCGCCCGGCCGCGACCCCCCGCGCGCCTCTCGCCGCACCTGCTGGCAGCCCAGCGCGGGCTGGGAGCGCTGC